CTTTTATAATTGGTAAAAATTGGAAACATTAGTTAGTTAAACGAGTTCATTAGACAGCTTTCATCTTTAATTAAGAGCACATGCAAAGGATTGAAGAAGGAAGAAGTGTTATTTGACTAAAATAGCATGTTTTCTTAAACTTGACTAATTGAAGTCTAAAGGGAACAAACCAATTGAAAAACCCTATAGATCAACTTTGATTATTTTCTTTCTAAAACTGTGATTAAAAAAAAAGGAAATGATAGAGGCACACTCTAAGGTACACCACCAACCACACACTCTCTCTCTCTCTACAGTGCAGGGGTCCCACATGTGATTTTTTAAGTGGGGCCCCCTGTACTGTAGAGAGAAAGGAAGTGTGGTTGGTGGTGTGCCTTAGAGTGTGACTGTAGCGCCTCTCTTAAAAAAAACTCATCGAACCTAACTATTGTTTGCTCACTCCAACTAAAAATCATAAAATGATAAAAATTCCTCACCTCCCCCATAAAAGAAGGGTTTTTTTTTTTGCATATCGCTCATATCTATCCTATTTGTAGATTTACCTAGAAACTTGCATTTTTACTAATTGATCTCTATTTAACTTCAACACTATTTTTATGAGATAAAAAATAAGTGAAAAACTTATGCAGAAGAATTTAATAAAATTAGAAAATTTGTGGATTCGAAGGTAAATCTATAAAGGGTTATTTTAAAGGGAAAAATGCTTCCAGCCCCCAAAAGCCAAGTGAACGTGCTTCCCACCCCCAAGACTTGGTCAATGGGTGTTTTACCCCTAAAAATAAAGATTTTGTTCTCTGAGCCCCCAAAACACAAAACCCAAGACATTAAAACATGTGAAGACCATAATACTCTTCTCTCTCTCTTTCTTTTTTATTAAAATATGATGGGGGTTATTTTATTATTTCTCTCTCTCTCTCTCTCTCTCTCTCTCTCTATCATGATGTACCAAGAGGATCTTTAGATAGGTAACCCTAACAATTAAACCCGTAACCTTAACAATTAAACCCGTAACCTTAATAATTAAACCTGTAACCTTAACAACAAATCTGTAACATACACAACAAATTCACAACCTTAACAACAAACCCTTAACCTTAACAACCAACCCGTAACCTTAACAATCAACCCGTAACTTTAACAACCTCCCAATACAAACAACCAAAATAATAAAAAATGAAAATAATAAAATAATCCTCATCAATCATTTCAACTATCCTCTTGGTACATCATGATAAAGAGAGAGAGAGCGAAAACAAAAATAATAAAATAATCCCCATCATATTTTAATAAAAAAAGAAAGAGAGAGAGAGAGAGAGAGAGAGAGAGAGAGAGAGAGATGATTCATAACCTTAACAACAAACCCTTAACCTTAATAACCAACCCGTAACCTTAACAATCAACCCGTAACTTTAACAACCTCCCAATACAAACAACCAAAATAATAAAAAACAAAAATAATAAAGTAATCCTCATCAATCATTTCAACTATCCTCTTGGTACATCATGATAAAGAGAGAGAGAAAACAAAAATAATAAAATAATCCCCATCATATTTTAATAAAAAAAGAAAGAGAGAGAGAGGATTCATAACCTTAACAACAAACCCTTAACCTTAACAACCAACCCGTAACCTTAACAATCAACACGTAACTTTAACAACCTCCCAATACAAACAACCAAAATAATAAAAAACGAAAATAATAAAATAATCCTCATCAATCATTTCAACTATCCTCTTGGTACATCATGATAAAGAGAGAGAGAAAACAAAAATAATAAAATAATCCCCATCATATTTTAATAAAAAAAGAAAGAGAGAGAGAGGATTCATAACCTTAACAACAAACCCTTAAACTTAACAACAAACCCTTAAACTTAACAACCAACCCGTAACCTTAACAATCAACCCGTAACTTTAACAACCTCCAAATACAAACAACCAAAATAATAAAAAACAAAAATAATAAAATAATCATCATCAATCATTTTAACTATCCTCTTGGTACATCATGATAAAGAGAGAGAGAAAATAAAAATAATAAAATAATCCCCCATCATATTTTAATAAAAAAAGAAAGAGAGAGAGAAGGGTATTATGGTCTTCACATGTTTTAATGTCTTGGGTTTTGTGTTTTGGGGGCTCAGAGAACAGATTCTTTATTTTTAGGGGTAAAACACCCATTGACCAAGTCCTGGGGGTGGGAAGCATGTTCACTTGGCTTTTGGGGGCTGGAAGCATTTTCCCTATTTTAAATATTAGTCCAACATATCTTCAATAATTCCATATCAGTTTCTGGTATCTTCAAAATCTCAGAAGTCTGTCAAATCCTAAGGGTCTAGCAATTTGGTCAATTGATGACCAAAATAGCCCGAAACTAATGTTATTTTAGCAAGATGGGTTTTCAGGATCACAAACTAAACGCTAATATCTAAATAAGGATTATAGATTTTGGTATGCAAAAAACCCTTAAATTTTCAATAGTGATAGGATCTTTGAGGGCCTTTTCGGGTCATTGAGGGACCTAATTGCAATAGTGATAGAATCTATCAGATCTGACGGCTTCATGAGCAAATTCATAGATTTGAGGGACTAAACGCTAATATTATCTAAGGGGCTGTTTGTTTTACTAAAAAAAGAGGGAAATCAAAGAAATGGAAAACTATTAAAATGAAGAATTGGTTTGGGAGTGTTTGGTTGGCTAAAAAAAGAAGGAAATCAAAAAAATGGAGATGAAATAATGTTAGTTGTCAAATTATTATTGGATGATGTGAGTGATTTTTTAAGAAAACTAGTTTTGATGTTGTTTGGTTGGCGAAAAAATAAGGAAATAAATTATAAGAAACTTATTTCCTGTAGTTTTGTTGTTTTCTTTTGTTTGGTTCATTCTTAAAAATAAGAAATGAAATGAGATGAGGTGAGTTGTCATTGTATTATTGGGTGATGTGAAGAAAGATTAAGAAAAGTGTTTTCATAACTTTTTGGGATGAAAATGGAGAAATGAAATGTTAATGAGATGAGGTGAATTGTTATAATATTTTATTGGATGATGTGAGTGATTTGAAATGATGAAAAGAGATGAGTTGAGTGATGTTTGGATGAAAATAATATTTTATTAGATGTGGTGGATGAGTTGTTAGATGAAAATAATATTTTATTAGATGTGGTGGATGAGTGGTTAGATGGAAATAATATTTTATTAGATGATGTGGATGAGTTGTTGGATGAAAATAATATTTTATTGGATGTTGTGGGTGAGTTTTAGGGATGGAAATGGAGGAAATAGTATTTTTTGAGATTTTCATGTTTTCCATTTCCATTTCTTGGTTTTCTTGGTTTTTAGGAAACCAAACAAACAGCCCCTTAAAAATGGCCGCTTTCTTTCTGGTTCAAAGACACACAAGCTGACGTGGACTCATCCTTGAACACAGAGACTATAGTCAAGTCGACAGCGCACTGC